CTCTCTCTCACTCACTCCCTCCCTCCTTCCCTCCCTCTTCCTCTCTGTGTCTCTCCCTCCCTCTCTCCTCCCTCCCTCCCTCCCACTTGCTTTGTGTGAAGCTGCTGATGTCTGAAAAACAGGGCCATTAAAAAGAAGCAGGGAAGAAGTGCCGCAGAAACTCTGCAGTATTACAAATCCACAAGTCTCTGTTCCTTGACAGCTAGAAACCCTGTAAATATTTGTTGTCTGAAAAGTACAGGTAGCACTTGACAGATCACCATTCCCAGCCCTGAGGACTTCGAACCATTCCGGGTTTTCTTGGTGTCGCTGTTTGTGTTCAGAAGGTCAGGATATTGAATAACCTGGCCGACCAATAACCACAGGGGGGTGGTGACTGTTGTTATTTCTGGATGTTGTGAAATGTAAACTCTGCAAGCCACATGGCCATCAGAGCCAGATCCCCTCCCTAGGACACTTGGGATAAGGAGGCTGTCTTCTGGATGGGAGAAGAGATCCTGTCTTGGGATGCTGGCTGTAACAAGCCAAGCTGAGCTTTAATTAATACAGGGGATGAGATTGGAAGGAGAAACATTCTCCAGACCATCATCCTGGGCAGAGTGATCCAGCTGGAGCAGGGGTCTTCAACCTTGGTCCTTTCATGACTTGTGGACTTCAACTCCCAGAATTCCTCAGCCAGGTACGCTGGCTGAGGAATTCTGGGAGTTGAAGTCCACAAGTCATGAAAGGACCAAGGTTGAAGACCCATGAGCTAGAGGAATGCAAAAGCTGGCTGCCCTTCATTGTTCATGCACACATTTTATTGGGAGTAGGGTAAAAGATGATGAAGGTGCTGGACCAGGAGTGGGGAGATCCAGGTTGTAGGTCCTCCTTCAGCCACAGAAGCTCCTTTGGGGACTCTGGGAGGATTCCTCCTTCTCATCCTGGTCTAGTGGTGAAAATGTTGGGCTGGCACTAGGGAGACCCAGGTTCTAGGTCAGTGGTGGCGAACCTATGGCACGGGTGCCAGAGGCGGCACTCGGAGCCCTCTCTGTGGGCACACGTGCCGTTGCCCCAGCCTTGCCTCCCCCTGCGACCCCCTCCTCTCCAGCAGCCCCCCTGGACGAGAGTCGCACCCAAGTGTGGCCCGCGCGGAGCAGTGCAGCCAAGGACATGGAAGCCAGGCAGTGTAGACAAGACTCTGCCCTCACGCCCCATCGCACACCGTTAATGCTGCGGGGCGCGGGCAGAGGGCATGGCCGCCATGGCGCTGCTGGGCGATCTGCGGCAGGCCCTGGAGGCGATGAGTGGCCCTGCGGGCAGGCGGGGTAAGGGGTGGAGCGGGGGTGGGGCCAGTTTTTGCGCACTCAGTCTCTAAAAGGTTCGCCATCACTGTTCTAGGTCCTCCTTCAACCCAGTAACCCTTGGGGACTCTGGGCCAGATTGTTCCTCTCAGCCTGGCCCTGTGGTGAAGATGTTGGGGCTGGTACCAGCAGACACAAGTTCCAGGTCCCCCTTCAGCCACAGAGGCTCCCTTGAGGACTCAGGGACAGTTCCTCCCGCTCAGCCTGGTCTAGTGGTGAAAATATGGGGCTGGTACCAGTAGACCCAGGTTCTAGATCCCTCTTCAGCCAGAGAAGCTGCCTTGAGGACTCTGGAACAGTTCCTCCTTCTCAGCCTGATTTAGCGGTGAAAATGTTGGGCTGGCACCAGTGGACTCAGGTTCTTTCTTCAGCCGCACAAGCTCCCTTGGGGACTTTAGGCCAGGGGTGTCAAACTCAATTTCATTGAGGGCCGCATCAGCATTGCGGTTGCCCTCGGGGGGGCCCGGGAGTGTGTGGTCAGGGTGGGTGCAGCCTACTGGGTGGGTGTGGATGGAGTGGGTGTGGCCTACTGGGTGGGTGTGGCCAGCTCTACATCATTCGCGTCAAGGGTGCCTGTGGGGGCCTGGGCAGGAGTGG